GTGTGTGTGTGTGTGTGTGTGTGTGTGTGTGTGTGTGTGTGTGTGTGAGTGTGTGAGAGAGAGAGTGAGAGAACAGAGAGTGGTGGAAAGATGGAAGTTTATTTCTATATGCTCTCCTGTGTGCGTGAGGGGGGGTGATGCTGACATCCCATAGAATCAGAGACAAAAGGCAGAGGGTGAACTAAAATAGCTGTCCAAGGGTGATGAATCACAGGCCAATTAAGGGTGCAATTATGCTCCTGGTGCTTTTGTTTTTAGTTTTTTGGCCTCCAAATCATCATCCGCATCTGAATATATCTTTTAAATTAGCTCTGAAGATGGATGACAGACACGTGAGAGCATCACTTCACTAGTGTGTCTTTTGTTTTTCCTGTTTTTAGATTTGGTCCTAAAAGAGTAACTAAATGGGTGTCTCTAGGAAGCCTTGAGGAAAACTCAATGCCCTGCCCAAGAGCACTGTGGAAGTGTCTGAGGTGTAGTGGGAAAAATAGCCGTCTCTGTGAACACACCTAAAGACTATCTGAGTTTGGGCCAGATCGCATGCAGACTAATAGGATCAACAAGGCAGTGTAATTATCTTATCTGGCCCGGTGGCTTTTTCAATAAAGAGAGCGGATAATCTAGAGGTTACACGGGGACAAAGTCAAAGACTATCAATTATATAGCAGGACAGTGAGTTCTGTGGTGGTGCCTCATAAAAACACCAATCTCACCGGGCTGTTAATGCTCTAAATGCGGTGAATGCAAAATTACCTTTTTTTTTTGTGTTCAAAAGCCTTAATTAATATCGGTCTGAGCTGAGTCAAGTGCTGCTTGCTTAGTGCAGGGCGCCCTGAGGAGTGACTGCAGAAAAAAAAACAGACCTGTGACACAGACGCACTAAAGAAAGAAGCCTTCCAACAGGATCAGAGCTATAAATAACTCTACGGCAGCGCTGCAATATCAGTGGGTGGATTAGGAGAGAACCGTCACTGCCTATTTATAAACCCAATGCAGTCAAAACTCATCGTGGGTGATTCATGGTGAGTACTGAAAAGGTGGGAGGAAAATTTAATTCACAAGTTTAGATGTAGTCTATTTTTTTTCCATAAATATTTGCTTTCTTCTCTCCGTATTTGGCTGTTAGGAATTAATCTTCCTTCCGCTACACTGAGTAATATATCCGACATAGGTTTTCCAGACTGCAGTGAAGCTCCACAGACCCTGACAGGCAGGCTCACGTCAGAGGCAGGTAAGGCACTCATCATGCATCAAGCATCGTGGGGGAAAATGTCTTCAGAGATAATCCTGTCTCTCAGTGTCCTGCTGCCACCTACAGGTCAACACATCCCTTTATGCATATGTATGAACATGACAATGTCAAACAATAAATCTGCTTATTTGAGCACCAGGTTAAAGCCACATTTTGAAATCTAAAATGCAAACATCTTAAGGACGAAGTGAAAAAAGGAGTATAAAAATGTAATTTGTCATTATAGCCATGTGTTCAAACATCTGTCCAAACTTTGATTATTATATGACTATTGCACTTACTGACAAAAATAAATGTGTTCTAATATGAATCAAGCATAAATAAGACAAAGAAATGCCAACAAGACGACATGTTTATTTAGAAATCACATCAGAAAACTTTGCTATAGTCATTCAAGAAACCTTTTTTTCTCTCAATCAATACAGAAAATATACAATAAGATAAATGTATCAGTCAATAAAATAATCATACAGAGTAAAGCAAATTAAAACAATGGCCTATCAATAAAATGATAATGACAATATTCTGTCACGGCCATTGACTTTACACTGCGTGGACTTTGGGGATATGGATACTGTCAGTGTCATTTGTTTTGTAGAACGGCCGGAGCATTCTGGTAGCGCCTGCAGGCATGCACACTCTGAAATGGCACAACACAACCCACTCCAAAAATAACCTAAAATGTCAGGGACATCGAGATCTTTTCGTTTTGTTACAATTTGACATTTTCATTGAAATCTCCACAGGACACTGATGATATAAAAACGGAGGCTCTGGCATAGTCGAAAGGACAAAGACTCAACTTTAAAGACTAGAACTCTATTAAAGCTCGCTCGGCTTTGTGTTGTAAGAAACAAGTCATCTTATGACCAAATGTGCCCAAAGCCCGGGACTATAAAAGATGGAGGATGGGTCACTATCCTGAAAGTAGTTCAACAATAAAAACTGTTTAAGTATGTGGAGTACAGTCAACCTAAGGCTGGATTTAAACATATGTTCAGTGTGTTGTTTCCAACATTGTAACGTATTAAGTGGTAAGAGAATGTCTGCTGTTGGTTATGAACTTGTCTCACATTGTCTCGCAGCACTGACCACTCTCAAACGCTTGCCTGACCCATCCTCTCATAACCGTGTCCTTAAAGGGGCAGGCAGCCAGAGAATGTCTCCGTCACGTCTTAAGACCCACTCCTCTTCCGCCACACTGAAGAAACATGGCTGCAAGGTACACGCTCTTCGTAAGTCACCAAAGCAACACGTCGCCCCTTCACACAGCACACCACACAGACACGGAATCCACGGTCACAAGACGGAGACTGGGACAACTGAATTAAACTGTAGGATGAATTTTCACCACCTTGTGCTGTTCAGGAGATCACCACCACACTATTAATGGGATACTTGACGCCCCTTTGTGTACATTTTAAGAATGCAACGTCAATCCAAATAAATGCACATCATGTGAGCCACGTCTAAATAAAGTTGCCGTCATGGTCAAACACAATGTATACTTAAATATGACATCATTCTTTGTGGGGTGAAGCCAAAACGTTGCTGACCACAAAGTCTGCAGGTGGTGGTGTGCAGCACAAGGGGACACAAGGAGAGGG